TAATGCAGAACCCGGCAGCTTGGAGCAGAAAAGTGAACGGACTATGTGTTAATCCAGGCCATCATGTCTGTCCGGAGGGGAAAGGGTGTTGCCCCATTCGCCCTTTCCTCCCTGGAAAGAAAGATGGCTGCCGCATGGGAGCCTTGTGGACAGCAGATATGAGCCGGGGGTGTGGGGGCGACTAAAACCTCATGGGAAGGGGGGCGTTTCGGTCCGCCCTTCACGCCCTACCGAGGCCACCAGTTGCCCCCCACGAGCGGCTCTCCAGCACGGCCACGACTCCAGAGCACAGAAACCAATTTCTTAACTATCTGACTTTCAGTAGAAATACTTCCAGGGTCAAGAAGTAAAATAGCAGAAATCCAAAACCAACATTTAATTCTTGAACCCAGCTGTAGAAAGCAAATCACTTCACAATGCTTTTTCAGCATGTCTGATTTGGGGGGGGGGGTAAACTCTAAATAATAGTGGTGAATCTTTTAATGAAACAATGAATCTAATCAAAGCAGATAGAGTGTTAACTAGAATTCATCTGCCTCACAGGGACTGGGAGGGGTGGGGGGGTGGGGTCTTATTGGGGTTCTTCATGGTAAAAAATAAGTATTGGTAAAGGGAAATGTGTTTGATATTTGCATGACTGAGACCTAAACCTGAAAGCTTTGTAACCTTTCCCACAGTGATTCAATAAATAAATTTAAAAAATATATTAAAAAAGAAACAGCACCACAGGACAGGTTCCATATAACATGGGAGACTGACAGAAAGCACAGCGCACAGGAGAGGTTTGCTGGTTTGTTATCTTGTTTTGGGCATACACCCAGCTGTGCTCAGGACCTACTCCTGTCTCTGTGTTCAGAGATCATTCCTGGCAGTGCTGGGGGACCATATGGGATGCTGAGGATTGAACCCAGGTTGGCCGCATGCAAACCACTTGCCTTATTCGCTGTACTATCATCCTAGCCCCAAGAGAGGGTTTTGAAGGACGAAGAGAAGTTTACATGCAGACAAGCTGACAGAGGACATTCCCTTCACTTAAGACGCTCTGCATAGGGTCTGGAGCAATAGCACAGCGGGTAGGGCATTTGCCTTGCACGAAGCCAACCCTGGTTCGATTCCCAGCATCCCATATGGTCCCCTGAGCACTGCCAGGAATAATTCCTGAGTGCAGAACCAGGAGTAACCCCTGTGCATCGCAGGTGTGACCCCAAAAATAAAAAAAGACCAACTGCATAGATCAAAAGCTTGGCAGCAACAAATGGCTCAGTGTTTTGGGGGACTAGCTTGCAAGGCATATTGGCCAAAGCCAGAAGCTTGTGTCCTAAGGGCTGTTAAGGACAAGAAAATGGAAAGAAGTGGTCCACGAGAACATAATCAGGAAGACACTGCATCTGACTGCTCACTTGCTGAGACATTTCCAGAATAGTGTTGGCCTCCTCCCAACTGGGAAACGAAGGGAGAATGCGGTCCCTAGGGATTCCCCTGAACGAGGGAGCCCATACAACTGCTCCTCCCCATGCTCCCTGGAGGGGAGCACTGCCAGCATTTCTGCAACTAGCGGCCTTGCCCAGTCCGGGCCCCTGCCCTGATGTGCTGGGCCCCGAGGCTAAGGGAGGAGCTTTGGGCCAACGGAAGGGTCAGTGTCCAGATGGCTGGCACCGTGATGGGTGGCAAATCCCACCGGCGGAGTCCCCTTCCCCCTCCCCAGGCTCCCTGCCTGGCTCCAAGCTCACGTTCCAGGGTCTGTTCCAGCTGTGTTAGTTGCCCAGCACCCCTCTGGGGGACATCTGTCACCCCTCAAATGTGTCCCTTGGCCACCAGCAATCAGCCAGCAAAGGCCTGGCATCTCTCCGCGCTGCCCAGAGCTTGGGAACCCTACCTGGGTAATCTGGCCCTAGTTAACTTTATTATTTTTAAATTTTTTATTTGGGGGCCGCTCTGGGTCTGCTCCCCGAAAACCTGTCTGGAGGACTGTCTCTGCAGGAAACATCCTGTAAAATCAGCATTTCTTTGGGCTGGAGCAATAGTACAGCGGGTAGGGCCTTTACTTTGCACATGGCCGACGCAGGGTTCAATCCCTGGCATCCCATATGGTCCCTCAAGCACCGCCAGGAGTAAATCCTGAGTGCAGACCCAGGAGTAACCCCTGAGCATCATTGGGTGTGATGCAGAAAGGCAAAAAAAAAAATCAGCCTTTCTTTTTTTTTTCTTGGTTCCCAGGGATTACTCCTAGCTCTGTGCTCAAGGATCATGGCTGGCAGTGCTTGGAGAAATCATATGTGGTGCCAGGAATTGAACCTGGGTCAGCCTCATGCATGGGAGTGCTTTATCCCCTGCACTATTGCCCCGGCCCCCTAAATCAGCATTCTTGCCAGGGGCCAGGAAGTTCTCTCCCCATGCAGCTGAGGTATGCAGCAGGTGCTTAATCAGTGCACGCCTACTTGCTTCCTAAGACATCCAACTTCCTAGCCTAGAGATGGAGGGAAGGTGAACCCGAGTCAGGTTCCCTCGGCTTCCAGCACACACTCATGCTGGGCTCCACGCTCAGCCCCAGCCCTGCCTGGCCCTCCTGCCTCCCTGTTCTTCATCTTGTCCCTTTTCTCTCCCGATGACATTTTATTCCGTGATACTCTCTGTGTGAGACAGGGGTTGTCACTGGGTCAACCTCCCTCCCTGCTTGTCTGGAGCTCACAGTCTAGCAAATGGTGCATTCTAGATATCTTCCCGTTTCTCTGCCGGGAATGCCTCCTCCAGCCCCTTTGCCTGAATTATGCATGGTTCAACTTTCAGGTCTCAGCTCAGAGGCCACCTCCTCCAGGAAGCTCACTCGGAAGGCCTCCACCATCCGACTGGGTAAGGCATCCTGTCTGGATGCCCTGTATTCCCTTATCCTGCCTCATACAGTCTCTGTTCCTAATTAGCCTCCTCTCTCAGACTGAGCTCCAAGCAAGGAGTCTGTCACGTTCAGAGAGCTACCTCCATCTGATAATGTTGGACCAGTTTGAATCTGCTCTTAACATCACACCCATTCTCAGAAACTTTAACTTTCCACAAACGATGCCCAAAGAAGCCGATCTGAACACACTCCAACCCTCCCACACTCCAGTGGGTCCCACCCAGGAATCTTTTTCTTCCTCATCAATATCACACCAAAGCCTTGTTGAGAGGAACATACTGAAGGACCTGCTATACTTGAACATGCCAGCAGGGGGCAGCGGAGCCAGCTCGGAGGCTGGTGTGCCAGCTTCACCTGTGGGTGCTACACCTTTGATCCCGGCACCGTGCGACCTCCAGCATCCCTGAGAGCAACCTCCAGGCCCTAGACTGGAAATAGCCCCAGGGTGTAGCCCAAAACAAAACAAATGCCAAGGGCCGGGAGACAAAGTACAGGGTTAAGGCATTGGCCTCCTGTGCCACCGCCACTGAACCTGGTTTGGTCCCTTCGCATCTCTGGGAACAGTCCCCTCCTCCCCCCAGCACGGAGCCAGGAGTCTCTCCTGAGCGCTGCTGGGCATAGCCCAAAGTCCAGACCCCCTGAAAAATTATATCCCAGGTACAGCCTCCTGGGACCCCGCCCAGCTGCCGATCTTGGGGTTCACACGTCTCCCCGGATCACCCTCATGCTCCATTCTTGTTCCTCATGGCAAAGATAAGGTCATGGTTGGTGATGCCACGCGAGAAGCAGAGCCAAGCCTGCTAGGGGGCTCCAGCGGGGGGCTCACACGTTCCCACCTCTGGCTACATACTCCTGGGGGGACCCTGGAGAAGGGCACCCACCCACCCCGTCTTCTCTTTGCTGCCTCCCCAGTCTGCTCAGGGATGAGTGGACCCTGCCAATGTCCCCCCGACTCTCAACTGCTGGCCCTGAGGACTGTGGGTCTCAGTCGAGACTGTCCCTTCAGGGGGGATCACTTCTGATGGTGCTCGGGGGACCACACATAGTGCCAGGGACCGAACTGAGTTCTGCCGCGTGCAAGGCAAGAGCCAACGGCTCTACCATCACCCAGAGTCCTGCATCTTTCTTCTTGATGATTTTATCTTTTTCTTTTTTCCTGGTGATTTTCACGGAGCTAACAGTGGTTTGCGAACTTCTCAGTGAGAGTAGGAGAATGCACTTTTCCAGGCCAACAGACTGGCCAAGAGACTCCCTGAGGCGGTCACTGGCTTGGCAGGTGTCAGGAACAGAAGGCTGGGGAGGGGGTGGAGGATAAGCAGAGGAGGGTGGCCTCAGGGACTGGAGGTGGGGGAGGTGTCGTCGCAGCGCCCAGAAAGGAGCTTACCTTCCGTTTCCAGTGCAGGGAACAGCAGGTGAGAGGACTGGACAGACCACACAGGCAGAAGAGCACCAAACCCCAAACGCGCATCGCGGCGCATTTCCAGGGCGCGAAACCTCCTCCCCCCCAAAACCTGGTTGATCTCTAAAGCAGAGCAGTTTCCAGCGGGGCCCCCCACCTCCACGCCCAGGCTCATCGCCACCCCCACTGCTAACAGCTGAGGAGCCCCGCCGGGTTTCCAAGCTTATGCCGGTGGGAGTCAGTCCAGCCCTGCCCGCTTCTCCCCTGCGCGCTCCACACCAGAAATCCCCCCTCCTGTGCGCACGTGCCACTGCGTCTCTGCCGTGCGTGCGCCCTGGGCGCTGTGCCACTGTCCGTGTAGGGGCATTTGCAATCCCACCCGCTCTCTGTTCACTGAAGGGGTCGCCCCGGGGAACTTGACAAGCTCTCCCGGACAACAGCACCCGCACCTCGTCCAACCGGGCTAGTTCGGGGGGCAAGGACCTCTCTACTCCCTCCCTCCCTCCCTCCCCAGGCCTCCGTCCCCAGCTGGTAAATGGGCGGACTCCTACCAAAGCTGAAAAGAAAACATTAAATGAGAAACAACAGAGAAAAGCCCCGCGGCCCTGCGGCCCTGCGCCCCCCAGCCCTCATAAGTCCCGCAGCGCGGTTAAGGCCGCGGCTCTCCGGGCCCAGAAAAACATGCGACAAGGGCGCCCCCTGCGGGCGATGCACAAACTGCATGTGGGCGATGCAACGAACTGCACTCCTGGCTCCCCGAAATCCTGCCCAGGGGCGCCCCATCCCGAGACCAACACGGACTCGGCCCCTGCTGAGGGGACAGTGCCCATGAAGTTGCTCCCGGCACCCCCCAAGCCCCAGAGGGCCCTTTTCCGGGACTCGCCGCTGGCCTTGCACCCTCGCCCCCTCCTGAAGCCCTCGCCCCGGACCCTCGGCCCCCCCAGCCTGCTCTCCTGTTCCCTGCCCCCCGCACGTGGCCCCTGCTCCCGGGCGCGCGCCTCCCTGCCTCCCAGACAGCGCGGGCAGGGAGGGCCCCTGTCCCCCTGTTCCCGGAAGATGCGAGCGCGCCCACGCCTGGCACCGGGCCCAGAGTCCGGCGGGGGCGTCGTAAATGGCTCCTGAATGATTCATTCATTGCTCTGGGAGAGGCGGTGCGACCCCTAAGGGGCGAGGGGTGCGCGGCTCCAAGTCCCCCAGAGCTGGGTTCAAGTCTCGGCTCCGGCCTTTGGGAAGATCAACACCGCCTCCGGGTCCTGTCGAAAGTGCAGGGACCACCCCCCCCCCCGCACCACCGCCCCGACCCGGTTCGGCGCGGGCGCGGGTGCGGGCGCCCAGGCCGGCCTGCAGAGGGGGATCATCCATCCGGCGAGGCGAACCCGCCGCCGCTCCGCCCGCGGCGCCCCTCCTCGCTGGTGCGCAGCATCCGCCGCCGCCGGACAGAAAGAGAAACTGAGGCCCTCGGGGACCGCGGGAACCCGGGTGCGGCCGCGGCGGGGCTCCAGGCCGGGCCTGCGGACTGCGCCCCGGGCCCGGCCGGCCTCGCAGGGAGGCAGAGAGGCCCGGGTGCGCCCCCCGGCCCGCGCGCCCTCGGCCCCCACCCGCACCGCGGCCTGCGGGTGCGGGCGCGGGTCCCCCCCACCCCGGGCTCCCTCCCGCGTGCGCTGCGGGGTCCGGGGCTCGGAGGCTGCGCGGCGCTCGGCGTTGGCACTTGAAACTGAGCGGGGCGCGCGCGGCGGGCTCCTGGGAGCGTGCCCGGACTGCGGCGCCGCGCCCCGAAACCCCCGGCCCCGCAGCCCGCCCAGCCCGCGCCGGCCACACTGCAGCGGCCGCGGCGGCGCGGGAGGGAGGGAGCGGCGGGGCTCGGCGCCCCTCGGCCGAGCGGGTGAGTACGCACCGCCGCGGACCCCCTGGCCCCCGCCCGGCCCCTGCACCCCTGCACCCCTCCACGCCACCCCCGCGCCCGCCCGGCCACTCGCACGCCTCCCGGCGCCCGCGCGGCGCGCACGCCCCTCACTTTCGCACTCGGCACCCCGACCGTCCCCACCGCCCCTGGCCGCCTCGCGCCGCTTCCAGCTCCAGGGTCCGCCCCCCTGCACCCCAGCTCCCGTTGGCGCCGGGTGGGGGGACCCCAGCTCGGGCTGTTGAGTCTCGAGAATGACTTGATCCTGCGGGGCACGTCCCCCTCCTCCCTGGGGGTACCGGGCCCCCCAAGAGGTTCTGACGCGTCTGTCCCGTGTAGGGGTCGCCCTGCAGGGTCCCTTTGGGACTCTTGCCGCTGGCTGTCTTTGGGAGAGGAAGCTAATGGGGTTGCGGGGGGATTCGGACAGAAGGGGGCTTGCGAGGGGGCCAGACTTGCGGGGCACTGCAGAGACCCCTCCTCAGGCCAGGAGGCCAGGACTTCACACCCCTAGGTGCCTGGAATTGCACGTCCAGCCGAACAGGGGCAGGGGCTGCCCCAATTTCTGCAGGAAGGCAAGGGGGGCTGCGAGTTCAGAGGACCCCCCACACACCCAGCCCCACCACAGCCCTGAGCTGAGAAGGTCCCCAGCCTGGTTCACACCTAGACCCCTCTGGGGACTCCTGGGAGTCTTTTTCTTTTCTTCTTCTTCCCCTCTATTTTTGTAGCACTGGCCACCGAACTCAGAGCATTGCTTGGCAAGTGCTCAAGGCTGAGTGCTCCTGTCTGAGTGCTCCCGGATGAGCGCCATATCTGGCCTGTGCCTCAGTATTCTTGCGGGTACAAGGGCCCCTCCCCAGGGTGGCAGAGAGAATCTGCCCAAATAACACATGGCAAGTGCTCAGTGTCCTGCCTGGCACGCAGGCGGCGCCCAACACATGCCAATGACGTGATTCTCTGAGCTGGGGGCCCTGCGAAATGATTTCAAGCTTACAGGGCCTAAAGAGGGTCTTGGGGACAGCTCGGGGCTCAGGAGCATGCACCCCGAACACATAGAGACCCGAGTTCAGTCCCCAGCCATGCATGACCCCCATCCACAACACACAACACACAGCCTTGTGTTGCCCGGTGACCCATCACCCGGGGCATTGAACCATCGGGGCTGGCTGACTGGGAACCATCAGGAAGAGGCCCCTGAACCCCGCCCCCCGCCGGCACTACTTGGGAGCCCCCTCCCCCAAACGCATTTGCTAAGGAGGTGTGCGGTCTGGAAGAGGAGGGATCCCCAAATGTACTTCCTGTTAATCCAGTGGCCTTGGAAGGGGGAGGAGCCCACTCCTGGCCAAGGATGTGTTATGGGGATACAGTAAGCAAGGAAAAGGGGTCCCTGGTGGCAGAGGTGCTGGCCACTGTCCCCAGCAAAGGCACAAAATTCCTGAAAAGCCTTTGTTCTAACAAGCCCAGGAGCCTCCACTGGGGTCCACTTCCAGGAAGGCGATGGGGGTCCTTCCCGCCCACCTGGGCCCCCCAAGGCCCCTAGGCAGGAGGCAGCGCCCAGCTAAGAGTTGGGGTCCCTGACTCCAGCCCTCTGCTGCATGCAGGGGGGTCCCTTCTCCACTCTGTCTCAGTCTCTGGGTGCCCCCCATGCCAGGGCCCCCCCCCCGAGCCCCTGCAGGTAGCATGCTTTGCCCATCCGTGCAGAGCTGGGCCAGCACGACCCCCTCACACCATCAGCTGTTTTGGTGGGTGCTCTCTGTTCGGGTCAGGCTTGGGAACAAGGGCCAGAACAGAGACGGGATGGGAGGGTCCCGGGGTCCCAGGAAGGGTGGGATCATCAAGGAACTGAAAGGAGGGCTGTGGCAGCACTGCTCCCACACTGTACCACGTTTTCCGTGGATCAGAAGCTGGGGAGCTCAGGTCACTGGCCTCCAACGCGCCTCATCAGCGTTTTTGCTTAAGCCAACGCTGCAGCCCCTCAGTCTGGCGCCGCTCCCGGCTGGGGCTGCTGCCACGGGCGCCGCTGGGCTGAGGCAGGAGCTCGCTCTCAGCTCCCCAGGCCTGGTGGGTGACTCTGGGCGCAGCCCCTGCCCCTGTGGGCACCTCACTTTTCTCCTCCGAGGGGTGGAGGATGACAGCAGGATTTGACCCCCCGGCACCGCCTTCCTAGGAAAAGGTGGAAAGTTCGTGGCAGCGAGGGGCCAGTGGCTGCCAGGTCCAGCGCCGTCACTGTATTTGGGTGGCTCTGGGCCAGTCCCTTTCTGAGCTGCCCGCCACCCAGGGCTTGCTCTGTGACACCGATGCGACCAGGGGCCTGTGGGAGGGGACGAAAGGTGCCAGTTAGGCCCCCCACCTTAAAGGGAACCTGGAGGTTCATGCTCTCTTTTTAAGTGCTCACGTTCTGCTTTGGAGGGTGGGGAGATGTTCGGGTTTGGGGGGTCACACGCAGTGGTGTTCGGGGCTTATTCCTGGCTCTGTGCCCTACGCTCTGTCCTATCTCTCAGACCCAAGAAGCCGCTTTCTATCAGGAAATCGCCCAAGTTTTCCAAGTTGGCGACTTGAAGACAAATGAAATAAGGACTGCAGACTGGCCGGTCAGTGCACACTCTCCCAGCTCACACCAGGGCCCAGGGTTTCGGGGACCCCTCCAGTCCGGTAAGCATAGCAGTGGGGCCCCACTTACCACTTGGGAATCTCTGAGGCTCTGGGCTTGTGAGGGGAAAATGTGAGGGGGGGTTCCCGCCCCTCCTCTTCCCTCTGCAGGGTTTCCTAATGTGTTGGGGGGGGTCTTGGGGGGCTGCTGCAGGAAGTTGTACCCAAAGCCACCCCTTTACAGAAATCCCAACTCCCAGACAGGAGTTGGGATGGGGGGTGGGGGGTCAGGTCTGAGGATCTGAGCTGGGCCAGCCTGGGAGGGTGCACAGGAGGGTGGGGGGTGGAGAGGGGAGACAGGAAGTACCTGCCTACGGTGTCCCCAGCCACACTCTGGCCACCGACTGTCAGGGGTTAGCAGAGTCCTGGAAAGGCCCAGCCCGCTTCTGCCAGGACCTGGGGGGTCCGGCCGGGAAAGTTAGGCAGCCCCCAGCGCCGCCCTGCCGGGGGCAGGAGGGGGGAGGTCTCGGCGCGGACTTACTGGATCTGCAGAGCTGAGGCTGTGGAGCGTTGCGCAGGGGCGGGGGCGGGCGAGACTCCGCCAAGGTTAGGGAGCGCTCAGCCCGCTGGCTCCTGCAAAGGGGCGCCCTCCCTGGTGCCGCCCCCCATTTCCATGACAACCGCACAGCTGCGTGGGAGTGGGGTGAGGGGGGGCGCCACTGGCGCTGTGGCGAGGAGCAAGGAGCCTGCCGGGCATGGAGAGCTGCTGAGGCTTCCTGCACTGGGACCGCCGCCCCCACCCTGTGCTGACCGCACCCTGCCCCCACCCCCTGCAGCTGGCCAAACCTCTAAGGGGTCAAGAGCCCCAGAGTCAGAGGTGGTGGCGAACCCCAGACGCCCGGAAGCGCTGGGAAACAGGACTGGGTCCCTTAACCCGGTGCCCTGAGGGCTTCATCAGGGTCTGGGGTCACCTGTGTGCAGGGGGGCAGGGGTGCACTGGAAACTACAGAGGGCAGTGTGAGTGAGGTCCTGGGTTCAAATCCCAACAAGTCACTCAAGGGGGCCAACGGATCATCCTGGGGCTGGTTAACAATCTGAGCACAACTAGGGGTGCTGTGAGCCCCAAAGACAGAGCCCCGTGTAAACCCAGCAACTCAAGATTCTGGGAATTGTGTCTCCCTCTGGGTCCCCTGATTGTAACCACTTTGGGGTTCTTCTGCCACTTAGGAACCTCCTGTCATTCTGTGTCCCTGGAGCTGAGCTCATCCCAAGCCTCCCTGCTTCCAAATCCCCCTTCCTCACCAGGCAGTGTTGCTTGATGGTCAGCGCCAAGTGCTGTTCAGTCCTGGCCCTAGACACTGAGACACGCAGGAACTGCCCCCCGTCCCCCTCAGGAACACACCTGCTTCTTAGCAACAAGATTGGACAATGAGCAGCCACCAGGCTCAGGCTTGTAGGAGGGCCCAGACCTTTCTAGAATAGCGTTGTCAGAACTTCCTCCATTCCTCCACCTTGGGCATGGAGGGGGTGGGGAGGAAAGTTCAGAGAACCCAAAGTGACCGCTGGGGAAGGCAGAACCAGCTCTAGGAAGTCACTTGGAACCCCAGGTCACGTCAGCCTGATAAACAGTGGTGGCTTCAGTCAAACCACAGACGCCTGTTCCGTGCGTGTCCACGACATTGGGGCCAGACCCACACTAAGAACAGACTGGGAGGCGGAAGAGGGGGTCGGGTGACACCCACAGTTCCCAAGGGCTACTCCTGGCTCTGTGCTCGGGAGTGACCCTTGGCAGTGCTTAGTGGACCATATGTGGGCTGGGGCTTAAGCCAGGGCAAGCACTTGACTCCCTGGCTCGCTCTGGCCCCTGTGAGCCTGGAATCGGGTAGTTTATGATAGAAGTCCAGGGGCCGGAGCCGTGGGACAGCGGGGAGGGTGCTGGGCCGAGAGCGGCTGACCCTGGCTGATCCCCGGCACCCCACATGGTCCCCATGGCCCACCAGGAGTGATCCCTGAGCACAGAGCAGGGGTAAGCCCTGAGCACGGCCTGGAGTGCCCCCGAGAGCAACAGAAAAGGAAAAGAGAATTTCAAAGACCCCTAATAACAGTTTATAAGTGTGGTCTTTGGGGGGGGGCGTGATAGCTCAGGGCTCACTCTGGCTCTGCAGCCGGGATTGCTCCTGGCGGGGTTGGGGGTGGTGCTGCGTTCAAACTGGGCTTGGCCATGCACAGCCCGGCCTTCCCACAGTTCAATAGCCTTGGCATTCTGCTTTGATGGTGGGCATGGAACCCCGAGTCAGGGGTCCCTTCGTACTGGGGTTGGGGACTTCGATCAGCCCCTGACCCTCCCTGCTGACTCTCTCCTGCTCTGTCTCAGCTGCTGCAGTGGGCACCATGACCGTGGACGTGGCTGAATACCACCTGAGCGGTGAGTGCCCAGGGGCACCGGTCACGGTCTGCTGGGTTGCAAGGGTGACGCGCCCAGGCTCCCTCAGGGACTGGGAAGCGGGCCTCTGCGCCCCAGCGGCCGTCCCCCGAAGCCTCCCCATGCCAGAGGGGGTCCCCTGAAATCTCCCCCATGTCACAGAGGGGTCCCCTGGCACCTCCCCCATGTCACAGAGGGGTCCCAGAAGCCCCTCCCTCTTGCACCCCCCTTCTCCCACAAAGCTGGGAGGAAGGGCAGGAGTACCCCAGGGCAGATCACAGATCCAGGTGTCCCCACACCCCTTCACCCAGATCCTGAGCACAAGGGCAGAGTGGGGACCCCATTCCGGCACCCCCCGCCGGGTCTCACTCCAAACCACAGGCGCGCAGGCTGGCCCCAGCTTCCGTGCGGCCTTACAAGGGTGACACAGCCCAGAGTCCCCACATGTGGGGCCAGCGAGGATGGCTGGGGCTTCAGCAAGGGCCAGGGGGCTAAAGTCTGAAGGTGCCCATGGCCCAGGTGTGCATGTGTATGTGACGTGTCTGTGTATGTGCCTATGTGCACATGTATGTGCCTGTGTACACGTGTGTGTGCCGTGTGTCTCTGAGTATGTGCCTGTATGCAGGTGTGTTGCTGTGTGTCTGTGTATGTGCCTATGTGCATGTGTGTGCCCTGTGCGCCATGTGTCTCTGTGGATGTGCGTGTCACATACACATAGGAGTCAGAGAAGGAAAATTCACATCTGTGCTTATGGTCAAGCTCTGCACAGCTGAAACCCCCTCTCCTCTCACTTCCTCTGGGAATTGGGGGAGGGGTGCGGGGCAGCTCTATGGGGAGAAACTCACCCCCCAGCTCCCCCCTCTACCGCAGGGCCCAGCAGAGCGCCCAGCTCTGCTTCCGCTCCAGCCCCTGCTGCCACTGACGTACTTTCTGTCCTTGTGGCCAGGCCTCCACGGGCATTTCCCACGGAAACAGAACCACGACACCCGTGATCCTTCGCGAGCGGCTCCTTTCACTTAGCCCCTTGTTTTCCTCCTGAACCTCATTCCTCTTGCCCTGAATAATACTCTGTTGTCAAGGTGTTGTGACACAGCCCAGAGTCGTCACACGTGGGGCCAGTGAGGATGGCCAGGGCTTCCCGAGGACCAGGGGGCTAAAATCAGAAGGTGCCCTCCTCAGTGCAGAGATACGGGGTTACTCTAAATGAGGTTTGAGGCCAAAGGGAACCACTCCAGATCCTCCCTCCCTCCCTCCCTCCCTTCCTTCCTTCCTTCTTCCTTCCTTCCCTCCCTCCTTCCTTCCCTTCTTTCTTTCTTCTTTCCTTCCTTCCTTTCTTATTTTCCTTCCTTTGCTTTTCTCTTTTCTTTTTCTTCTGTCTTTCTCCCTCTCTTTTCTTGCTCTTTCTTTTCTGTCACAACTAACAGTATTCAAGGCTTACTCCTGGCTCTGTGCTCAGGAGTGACTCCTAGCTGTATCTGGGGACCATATTGTGATGCTGGGGATACCAACCAGGTTTGCCCGCATACAAGGCAAAGGCTTGAACCCCTGTTCTACCTCTCCAGCCTCCATATTTCTCTTTCGTTTCTCTGAAGAACCAAAGTGCTGCCTTGATTATCCAGAAGCAAGAGTCCTCTGAAGGTTATGGGGTTCAAAAAATTCAAAAGGAAGAAATCCCTGTTGTAGTACAGGGGGTAGGGGTTTGCTTTGCACATGGCCAACCTGGGTTCGATCCCTGGCACCGGACCTCTGCCAAGAGTGATCCCTGAGCACAGAGCCAGGAGTAACCTCCAAGGACCACCAGCTGTGACGAACCTCCCCCACTCCCCTCCCAAAAAAAGAAATTCCTATTTGTTTAAAGTCTAAGGAGTATTTGGGTGGTGCTCTCGGCTCTTCATCTCTATGGACGTTGGGCAGGAAAGACAGAAGCAGAAATCACAGAGAAAAACGTGTCTGATTCCCATCGGTCCCTGGCCCCCAGCCCCGCCTGGCACATAGCACACGTGTGAATATTCCTTAGAGAGTGAGTGAGCCCTGGGCCCTGGAGGGGAGGGGTGACGGCAGGGAGAGGGAGGTCCCACCACACTCCTGAGAGGCTACCCCCTCTTTCTTTTTGCAGTCATCAGGAGCCCCCCGGGCTGGGAGGTGGGTGTCTACGCCGCAGGGGCCCTGGCGCTGCTGGGCATCACTGCTGTGAGCCTGTGGAAACTCTGGAGCTCGGGAAGCTTCCCCAGCCCCTCCCCGTTCCCAAACTATGACTACCGGTACCTTCAGCAGAAGTACGGGGAGACCTACGCGGAGGCCAGGCAGAAGGTGAGGCTCTAGCCCCCACCCCCTAGGCCTCTCTCCCTCCACCCCCCTCTTCGTTCTTCCCCCCACCCTCTCTTCCTCTTCGTGCTCCTCCTCCTCCTCTCTCCTGGGGAAGTTTCTTTCTGAAAAAGGAACCCTTATCCTCCTCCTGTGTCTGACCCCATGCCGGTGATCATTGAATAAAAGACACTTTCAACTGGATGGGTCAGGAGGAAACTTGCGGAAAAACACAGGAAAATATAAATAAGGAAAGGAAAAAGTCTTGTAACTATGATATTTGAGAAATACTAACGATTGAAGTATTTCTTTCCAATATTTTCCTTTTTTTCAGAGTGGGGGGTGTTACACCCAGCAATGCGCAGGGGTTTCTCCTGGTTCTGCACTCAGGAATTACTCCTGGCAGTGCTCGGGAGACCATATGGGATGCTGGGAATCAAACCCTGTGTTGGCCACATGCAAGGAAATGCCCTACCCATGGTGCTATCACTCCAACTCCACCTTTTATTATTTTAAATATCTCCCTTCCCCCCCCCAGACTATTTTTCAGTTTTATTTTGGGGGGCGCAGGGAAGCAGTTGTTTGTTTGTTTGGGGGCCACACCTGGAGATGCTCAGGGACTATTCCTGTACTCAGGAATTACTACTAGCCATGCTCAGGAGACCATATGGGATGCCGGGGATTGAACCCTGGTCGGCCATGTGCAAGGCAAGTGCCTTTCCTGCTGTTCAATTGCTCCAGCCCCTGCGTGCAGTTTTTATACGGTGGGTGTTGTTTCTACACAGGGTGTTCTACCCAGCTCTTGCATCTCGTTTAAAGAAGCATTTGTTTGTGATGTTTCATGAGCACCATTTTAGGGGTTAGGTAGGAGCCTTTTGTACATGTGCCCTGACTTACTATGTGCCATTGTCAGCAATGCACTGAATATTATTTTGTTTGGGGAGGATGGGGGTTACACCCAGTGATGCTCTGGGCCTACTCCCAGCTCTGTGCTTGGTGGTTGATCCCAGCAGGACTCAGGATACCATGAGGTGCTGAGCCTCACATTCAGCCTCAGGCCCTCACATTCCAGGCAAGTGCTCCCACACTGAGCCATGTCCTCGGCCCCTGGGGTGCGAATGTTTTAGATATGAAACATCACCCTTGTTTGGGATCATATACTTTGAATAGATGCCCGGATGTGAAATGACTGTTTCGGGGGTTACAAAACGTTTCAGGACATCCATTGGAGACTGCTGTTTCTGGACTGATAGACAGCACATAGAGCGTTTCCCTCGGGCCGTGTGTGACCAGAGGACAACCCCCCAGGCGTTTTCTGTGGGGTCAGCTGGGGACTCAGTCTCTCGGGCAAGGCTACAGATTGGCCCAGCAGTTCCTAAGAGCCTTTTGGCGTCTAAAGCTTTCCACCCGCTGTGTCCACTGAGCCGGGGTTCCAAGAAGGCTGTTGCTTGCTTAATACTTGTGAAAAATTAGCAATATCCAGCAAGCAGAGTCCTCAGATTAGCAGAGTCCTCAGATTAACGAAGGCGGGAGGCCTGTTCAGGGGCACCGGGGCACTGCCATACAGCGGTGCCAAGGCTGTTGTAACGGCCGGTGCTTTTCCCCAAGCTCCAAGTCGGCTTAGAGGGGAGAGCATGTTAGCCATAGGAGAACGCCCCCATATTGGGGCCGTTCTGCAGACTTCCTTAGAGGCTGTGGACTCAGAGACAAGCTAGTTCTCTTTTTTGGTTTGTTTGGTTTTTGTTTTGGGGCCACACGCAAAACTCAGGGGTTACTTCTGGCTCAGCACTCAGAGATGACCCCTGGCGATGTTTAGGGGCCCCAGTGGGATGCCGGGGATCGAACCCAGGTCGGCCATGTGTAAGACCCTCCCCGCTGTACTATCTCTCAGGCCCTCTGCAGGGGCCTGCAGGTTGCTGAGCCCATCCTCCTACGCACTGCTCTAGGGGCATGGCCCAGGGCTCACAGGGCCAGGGTTCAGGCCCCAGCGCTGCATGCTGCCCCAGCATGCCAGGGTATGGCCCTGGTGGCCCCCAGCACTGCTGGCTGCCTCTGAGAGAGAAACGGCCGCAGGAAGTTACACCGCGAGGAGACCTCAGGCCTTTCACGGGGTCGGGTGTCTGGGGTGTGCCACGGCTCCATCGTCCCGCTGTTCTCCCCCCGGCCCCCGCAGAGAGTGCCCGGCTGGACCTCGCGGGCGCCCAGCCGCAAGGGCAGCCTGAGCGTGGAGGACACGTTTGAGAGCATGGGCGAGCTGGGGCCGCTGGAGCTGATGGGCCGCGGGCTGGACCTGGTGCCCGAAGGCGCGCTGCGCAAGTCGCAGTCGGCCGACTCCCTCAACTCCGTGTCGTCCGTGAGCAACACGTTCGGGCAGGACTTCACGCTGGGCCAGGTGGAGGTGAGCCTGGACTACGCGGCCGCCTCGCACACGCTGCGCGTGGCCGTGCTGCAGGGCAAGGACCTGCTGGAGCGCGAGGACGCCGCCTTCCAGTCCTGCTTCGTGCGCGTCAGCCTGCTGCCCGACGAGCAGATCGTCGGCATCTCCCGGGTGAGTGCGGGCCGGCCGGCTTCACCCCCGCCCCATCCTTCCCCGTGGATCCGGGACTCGATTGCTCTCCATCACCACGCATGCGTCAGCTTGAGGTCCCAGCAGGAAAGGGGGTGACCTGCTCGGGTGGCTAATTGGGGGTGGGTTCTGGGCTTGGGTGGGGGCCCAGGGACCTTGGGGGTAGCAGATGACCCGAAGGGAAAGGCGAGGACCCCAAGGGGCAGGAGCGTGGAGAGGGGCGCCCTGCACCCCAGCCTCCCTGCCTAGTGCGGCTGCCCTAAGGCAGGTCCCCCACCCCCATCCCAGTCCTGGACGCAGCCTCTGGGGCTGCCACCTCTTGGGGTGGGGGGTGGCAGGAAGGGCAGGCAGTAGAAACCAAGGGGTGAAGCAGCCCCACCCCAGCTCCCCTCCTGGGTCCCTGGCAACAGGGAATAGAGCCTGAGTGAGCAGTGGGGGGACCCACAAACCCGTTGATGGGGTGCCTCTGACCCTCCCCACAGTCCCCCCTTGCTTCCCCTTCACTATTTTTGCCTTTGGTTTGGGGTCCGGACCCAGTGGTCCCCACACAGGGTCAGGGATCAAACTGGGCCCCCGCCTGCAAAGGCTGCGTCCCTGCCTGCACCCCATCACTGTGGCACTGACCAGCGGCTGCCCGGGTGGCGACACTGATCAGTGCCACGAATTAGTGCCCGCCTCCTCATGGCGCCAGGCAGTAAACGCCTTTGGCACAGGGCCTCCTGCCTCTCCGGGGTGCTTCTCGGCCCTTTCTCCCTGGGGATCCCCAGTCGCAGGGCTGTCCTGAGCCTCTGCACGTGTGGGTGCCTCTGGGAGTCAAACTCGCAGGCTTGCGGTTGCCAGGCAAGCATTTTAAGCCACGGCGCCATCTTCTGAGGCCCGCCTCGTGATTTTCTTTTCTTTTTTTCATTTTTTTCTTTTTGGGTCACACCCGGCGATGCTCAGGGGTTACTCCTGGCTCTGCACTCAGGAATTACTCCTGGCAGTGCTCAGGGGGACCATATGGGATGCTGGGAATCAAACCCAGGTCAGCTGTGTGAAAGGCAAATGTCCTACTCACTGTGCTATCGCTCCAGCCCCAGCCATGATTTTTGATTTTCAAGATGATCAATGAGCATAGGCCAGGGCAGTCTCTGACTCTCGGGCCCATGATGGAGCCTGGGGGCCCTGTGCCTGCAGACGGGGCTGCCCGCAAGGCATGCGCTGGTCCTGGACTCGTCCTCAAGAGGGACAGTCACAGCCAAGACAGTTGAGCTGAGCCAAGAACCTGGCCACAGGAGCCACCCCCTCGACCCCCTCATCAGCCCCAATAGCATGGGCTCTTAGGGCCTCCCACAGAGGAGGAAACTGAGGCACGACAAAGGGCTCTGCTCCAGACAAGTGAGCAGACCCCCGACTCGAGTCCCGGGGCCTGTGATCTTTGTCCACGTGACACAGAGAATGGGGTTCAGGGGGCCAAACCCCGTGGGCAGGGGCACAGCCCAGAGCCTAGTTTGGCCCCGCCCTTCCCTCTGCTGTAGTCTGCAGTGACCGGTGACTAGGATCCCCACCCTTGTCGCGTGCTCTGACCTCTCACGCTGTGTCGCACCCCCGCGGGGTTCCAGACAGCGGATGGAGCTTGTGGCTCTGCTGCTCGCTCGCACACACTCACCCCTCCCCCGTTCCCGGGGGGGCCTCAATCCTCTCTCAAGCCAGCAACTGGGTGGGGAAGGCAGCTCCCCGGGGGCCATGCAAGCCAGGGGAGCCTCCCATGGCCCAGACAAGAACTGGAGAGTGTGATCTGGGGCACTGGGAGGTGCTGGAGAGGTTTCTTCCCAAGAAGGCAGGCTTTGTGGATCCCAGCCCTGCCAGTTCCAGCTAGTGGGCACTGTTCCCAGGCCGGGTGCCAGTGAGGAGAGCTTCTCTCCTTACAGACTGCCAAGGCAGTGACTAAGGCAACCCCCTCCGGGAGCAGGAGTACTGCGTCTTCCAGGGGGCCTGCCCACGGCTTACTGGGAGGAGGCCAGGGTGCCCACCAGCCAGTACTGGGCTTGGAATGAGTCTTCCCAGAGAATAATCACTCTGTCTATTCAGCCATGAACCCATCCACTTATTATCCACCCAGCTATCTCTGTCCACCCTCCCATCCACTTAACCGTCATCACTCAGCCATCATCCATCCACCCTTCTACCTATAGACCATCCATCACCGCCCATCATCCATCCACCCACCCATCTATCCATCCTTCCATTATCCATTCATCTACCCATCACCCACCCACTTATCCATCCATCCATGCATCTGTCCATCCCTCCACCCAACCATCCATCCATCCATTATCCATCCATCTACCTATCACCCAGCCAGCTAGCCATGCATCTACCCATCCATCACCTCATCCATCTATCCATCCTTCCATTATCCATTCATCTACCCATCACTCACCCATCCATCCATCCACTCATCCATCCCTCCACCCAACCATCCATCCTTCCATTATCCATCCATCTATCCATCACCCCCCCATCCATCCATCCCACCACACTAGACAGTTCTTGGCCAGGCTCTGCAGGGGTGGGACAGCAATGACCATCAGCATCACAATAATGGGGTAACCCACTACACACCTGGTCGAGAGCTGAACCTGGATGCCTTCAAGAAAGCTAGAGACCAGCTCTTGGCCAGTACCTCCAGGAAGTTCTGTGGAACCAAGGGCACTGCTGTGGGGATGAGTTGGGGTCAAATTGTGCCACTTCACATGACAGGTCCTTACAGTGGCCATGGCTGAAAGGAGAATAAAGGTCCTTTGAGTCCTTCAATACCCATTGGAGTATGGATAGATGAATGGATAGATGGCTAGGTGGATAGATGGCTGGATGGATAGATGGATGGATGATGGGCAGGTGGGTGAGCGTATGGATGGATAGGTGAATGGGTGGGTGAGTGGGTGGACAGATAGGTAGAAGGATGGATGGATAGATGGATATATGGATGGATGATGGGAGGGTGGGGGGATGGAAGGATGGATGGGTAAGTGGATGAATGGATGGATGCGTGAATGAATGGATGGGTGGGTAGATGGATGGGTGAGTGGGTGGGTCAGCGGGTGGAAGGATGGATGGGTAAGTGGATGAATGGGTATATGGGTGGATGGGTGCTGGGACCCTGGTCCCACTTCAAGCTGAGCCGCCAATGGCAGTGCTGGCCTGGGGCGATGTGGACAGCAGTGCCAGGATGCTTGCCTGGGTCCCTGCCCGGGGTACCAGCTCCTCTCCCTCTCCCACCCTGCCCCCGGCAGATCCAGCGGAGCGCCTACTCCATCTTCTTCGATGAGAAGTTCTCCATCCCGCTGGACCCCGGCGCCCTGGAGGAGAAGAGCCTGCGCTTCTCCGTGTTCGGCATCGACGAGGATGAGCGGAATGTCAGCACGGGGGTGGTGGAGCTCAAGCTCTCCGTCCTCGACCTCCCGCTGCAGCCCTTCAGCGGCTGGCTCTACCTGCAGGACCAGAACAAGGCACGTCCGCCGCCCTCCCCGGGGCCCCCACTGTGCTCCTCACGGTCTGCACAGCCCCTGCAGAGCCGCTGTTCACTGGGCCCGCGGGCGCTGCCTCCACAGAGGATGTGCTGTGTGCAGTAGAGCCTGACGCAGAACGTGGTTGTTTCTGCAAAGGAGCCGCTCACCACAGCCCCCATCCGGGAGGAGGGGGCAGGATGCAGTGGGCCCCTCACCCTCCTTCCAACGCAGCACCCACACCCGGGTGGGGGGCAGTGGGGAGAGCAGCCCCGTTTCTCCATCCCGCCAGACTCGACTGGGGACACCTGAAGCTTCTTGCAGGCTTCTCCCTGGGCCCCTCCAGTGCCGGCGGCCGGCTAAGCGCCCTCTCTCTGCAGGCAGCTGACGCGGTGGGTGAGATCCTGCTTTCTCTCAGCTACCTGCCCACCGCCGAGCGCCTCACCGTGGTGGTGGTGAAGGCCAAGAACCTGGTCTGGACCAACGACAAGCCCACAGCGGGTAAGAACCTGCTTCCCGCAGGGTCCAGCTGCTCCACCGCGCGCTCCCCGCAGGAAGAGTGATGCAAACGACAGCGGGGAACCACAGCGAGCACAGGGAGCCCCGGTGCGTGGGGTGCCCGGGAGCAGGAGGCGCCCACGGCCCAGAGCTGGAATCCCGGAGGCGGCACGTTCCGGAGCTCGGCCCCAAACGGGGGGCGGGGCGCGCGCGGGACGGGCGGGCGGGAGCCCAGACCTCGGGCCGGGCTGGAGCTCAACCTAGCGGGCACCTGGGGGCCCGGCCAGGGAGGCCCGCAAGGACACGAGGGGGCGGGAGGTGCAGCAGACGGCGGAGCTGCGTGGCCCAGTGCGCTGGGCGGCGGCGCCGGTGACTCAGGCTGACGTCTGCTCGGCCGTTTATAGAACAGAGCGCGGGGGCGGGGCGGGGGGGCGCGCGCTCCCCCAGGGTCGGGTGAGGAGAGTTGGGGGGCGGGGTGGGTGCCGAGAGGCGGCGCTGAGTCCAAAGCCCGGCTCCTCCCGGCCCGTGCCGAGCCTGTTTCCCAGCTGAAAACTGGGAGCAGGAGAAGCACCAAGGGCAGGAGAGAGAGCTCAAAGCGCCCGGGCGCAAACCTTGCAAGCAGGAGGCCCGGGTTCGGTCCCCAACACTGCATGCTCTCCTGAGCACCGCGGGGTGACTCCCGTGGGGCACTGATCCGGAGCCAGACAAACCTAGGCAGGAGTGCGGGAGAAAGGGATCAGAGGGAGGTTGGGGAGCTCGGAGCCGTGGGGGTCGGGGGTGGGGAGGCAGGACCCTGGTCCCATGCCATCCATCTCTGGCCCTCTCCACAGACCCCTTCGTCAAGGTGTACCTGCTGCAGGATGGGAGAAAGATGAGCAAGAAGAAGACGGCTGTGAAGAGGGACGACCCCAACCCCGTGTTCAACGAAGCCATGATCTTTTCAGTCCCGGCGATCGTGCTCCAGGTGTGGGGTGCCGCGAGGGGCGGGGCCACGGTGTGGGCGGGGCTCAGTGGGGCGGGGCCAAGCCGCGAGGGGGCGGTGCCGCGGTGTGGGGCGGGGCTTTGAGGGGCAGGGCCACGATATTAGGCCTGGGCTGTGAAGGGGAGTGCCGCTGTGTGGGCGGGGCTATGAGGGGTGGGTCCACGATGTGGGCGTGGTCAAAAAATAGCATTGGGCGGGCTGTAAAGGGCGTGGCCTTGCTGCGGGGCGGGTCCAGGAAATAAAGTGGGCGGTACCTGGGGGTGGGGCCAGGAAACCAGGCAAAGACGGTGGGCAGGCAGGGAGTGTAAGGAGTTGGGGGGATACTGGGTCCGGGGCCAGGTCAGGGCACAGGCCGGTAGAGGGGCACAGGATGGAACCAGGTAAGGGACAGGGAGCACAGCTTGTCTCCGAGGATGGAGCGGTCAGATGGGATCTATTTCAGCCCAAGCAATTTTCCCCCTTGCTCAGCGATGGTCATGGGACGCGGGACCCCACAGTCCTCTGACGACGTAGAGTTCCCAGGTTTTAAGATTGTAACTCCGGTGAGGAGGTGGCTAAGTGGGCAGATCTGGGTTCCGTTGCTGCCCTTGGCCGCTGCCCAGTAAGGAAGCAGGGGGCGTCTGGATATGGGATAGGCAGATGGGAGCTGAAGCGTCAGGGAGCCGACCTGGAACCCCGGAATTTCCAGCTGGGCCAGCAGCCGAGACGGCCCTCTGGAGCTCCCATATTCCCTCCTGCCAGGATCTGTCTCTCCGTGTGACGGTGGCTGAAAACAGCAGCGACGGCCGCGGGGAAAACGTGGGTCACGTCATCATCGGGCCATCTGCTAGCGGCATGGGCACCACGCACTGGAACCAGATGCTGGCCACGCTGCGCCGGCCCGTGTCCATGTGGCACTCTGTCCGGCGAAACTAGCCGCAGGACGAGCAGGGGGCACTGGAGCTGCCTGGAGCCGGTGCCCGACCAGCTGACACAGTGAATGCTGAAGTCCCCTGGGAGTTCCCTGTCATCTGGGTCCCTCTTTCAGAGGTACGAGGAGCAGGCATGGCCAGATGTTGGGGGCCTGGGGCCCCTGGCCCAAAGGACCAGCACAGTGGGGCCAGAACCCCAGGGGCCACCGACTCTGGATTCCTGCAGGGTCCTCACGCACTGACCTCTCGAACTCCCATCCTGATGGCCCCACACGTCTCTGACTGGCCTGGGGGAAGCTTCTGGAGGCTGAGTCACCTTCCCCCCACCCCAACGGGGAATGGTGACTGGACCACGGGGGTCCCATAGACCAGGTTCTGTGCTTGGTGATCTCAGGACTGCCCTGTGGGAGCAGGAATGTGGGAGCCATGCTGTGGGAGAAGCCAAGCACCCCCCCCCCAGAGTGGGGCAGACACACAGCCTGACCGCATCGCATGGGCACAGGGCTCAGAGTCCCGAACTCGGCCCATGGAGGGCAGGGGGCAGCCAGACCAGTTCTGGAAGCTGATTCAGAGAGGAGGCGCCTGGTCAGGGGGCCCCAAGAGTGGCTGGAAGCATCGAGAAGGGGAAGTCCTTGCTCCTGGTGGCTTCTGGAAGGGGGGCCCTTTAGCAGGGTAACCTCGGATTTCTCAGGTGGGATATACCCCAGGGGGCTACCAAGAAGCAAGCAGCTGAGGGGAGGGGGCGTCCATCACACCCCCAGGCATCACTGACCTAGGTGCCTCCAAAACCAGCAGCCGACAACTGCACCCTTGGGCGCAGGGGGGTCCCTACCGGGCCTCAGAGCCAGTATAGGAATAATGCAGTCACTACTTGTGGGACCCCCACAACTGAGTGTGGCTCTCTCTGGCATTGGGGAGCCCGCCCCATTCACAGCTGACCTGTCAGAGGTCCCAGTGATATGGGAAAGGGGGGCAGATGGGGGGCCCCGACTGTAGACAAGACCGACGAGGACTGTGGCACACACGCGTGGCCCTCCCAGGAGCGGACCGTAAGCCCAGTGGTCTGCTCCGCCCCGGGTCTGCTGCCAGGGGGGCCCCCCAGCCCCTACCCACCCTCCCCCCTTTTCCTCCCTGCATGAGCTGTTGACTGGCCAGGAGGGGTGTGGCAGGGACGAGTGTGCTGAAGATTGATTCTAAACCAAAATAAAGCTGGAGCAGGAAGGAGGGGGCCCTGGGGAGCCCAGCTCAACCCGGACCTCCTCACATCTCCTCCAGGAATCAGGGAGTCTGACGCCAATGTGGCTTACTACTGGGTGCCCACCTCGGGGGTAGGGGAGAGCCGCACACACTTGGGAAACTCAGAGAAGGACACCTGAGCTAGGCCTGGAGGGGAAGGTTGGTGGAGCATACCAAGAAGGCTTCCTGGAGGAGGAAGACAGGCGGGCCTACCAAGGAAGGCTTCCCAGTGTTCTGTGGCTCCCAGACACCAGACACATGGGGCATCTTTGAGCAGGTAATCCCTTCCTGGGGGCTCGGCTCTACTCCTTCCTGTATAGACCTCCTACTCAGGAAGGTCAGTGCTCATATTTCCACCTTCTCCAGGAAGCCCTCCTTGATCATCACTCTTCCTGGGTTCCTGCGGCAGCCTGTCTCATTTATCACCTCTACCTGCTCAGTACTGGAGGTGGGGTGGCCAGATGTGCTTCATAGTCAGGCCCAGTGGTGGGCAGTGACCAGGTCAGAGGTGTGCCTCTTGGCATTGATGGTCTTCTCCCCTCCTCCTCTCTCCCCTGCCCCGCTCTGGAGGAGCTGGGGAAAGGGCAGTGGGACCTAAGGGTTAAGACTGAGAGACAGACAGCCTCAGCTTAAATCCCAGCTCTGAGATGTTTTTGGCTGTGTGACCTCTGGCCAGTTACTTAACCTCTCTGAGCTTCAGTCTCCACATCTGCAAATTGGGCTGAGGAGAATGCCTGCACCTGGGACAGTGCTCCCGGCACTCACTGCTCTTGGGCCTTGGCCCTCTGAGCCTTCCTCCTGGCTCCTCCTCCCCACCCTTTCCTACCTGAGTTCTAAGTCAGTGGACAAATTGGCCCCACGTGTGTCCCGCCTGCCTTTTCCCGTTCCCGGTGCCAGGAACGCGCCGCTTCACTGCCTGTCCACCTCAGAGGCCAGCCGGGCTCCTCCATGCCCCAATCTGGGCCTCACCTGGTTCTCCCCACTAGTCACGCCTGGAAGGATCCAGAGTATTGAGACCTGCTCCCGGCCTGTGGCTTCCGTCTTAGTGAGACCTGGGTCTTGGGGATCTCACTCGCCTTGAGCAAAGTTTGTTGCCTTCAGAGCCTCAGTTTCTGGGGCCGGAGCAACAGGACCGCGGGGAGGGTGTTGGTCCTGCTCACAGCCAACCCCGGAGCACCGCCAGTGGTGATCCGAGCGCAGAGTCAGGGGTAAGCCCTGGGCACCGCCAGGTGTGGGCCCCTCTCCCCATCTGGAGAAAGAACCAACTGGGTATCGGGCTTAAAGCTTCCTGAACGCCTGCCTTTGGCTCTGTGTGCCAAATGCCTGGGTTAGAAGTGCATCCTGGAGCCAGAGAGAGACAGCACAGCGGGGAGGGCACTCGCCTTGCAGTGGGCATCCTGGCTTCAATCCCTGACCGTGCCCCACCACCCCAAAGAAAGTGCCAGCTTCCACCCCATGGGATCTTGGCCAAAGCAGTGGCCCCCTTCAGGCCTGTTTCTCCGTTTGTCGAGAGAAGATAAGAATTAGACGTCCAAGGACAGAATGAGGTGATGCACTCCACGTAGGAAGCAGCCCCTGGACCTGAGTTGGGGGTTTTCGAGGGAGACAGCTGCCAAGGTGTAGCTGGAGGGATCCGTGTTTGGGGAGAAAGGGAAGGGAGGGGTCCTCGGAAGCCCCGAGGAATTCACAGGGCAGGATGGGACTCTGAAGTTCCACCCGGTCGGCAGCTGCTTCCTGCTTCTTCAGACTGGGGGTAACACAACACATCCACCCCCAGCCCAGCTGGCGGCCCTGAGCAGGGACCTGCAGGGAGCAGAGTGGCCACGCGAGGGCAGCAGAGACTCGCCTGGGCCTGCAGGGGCTTCCCAGCCATCGGGTCCCAAGATCAGGGGTAGCAGCTGGGGGCTGGCGGGTGGTCCCCTCTCTGCTGCCTGCACACGCGCGGGGTGCATGGCCTTCACTCATGCACACCACCCCCGTTGCTTTATTTGCTGGCGCTCGTTTCTTCCGCCCGCCTTGCTCCCTGCGCCCTTGTTTCCCTTCCTGGGATTGTCCAGGCAGGTTGCCAGCTGACCACAGCATCCCAAGTCAGGGCTGGGGGCCACCCCGCGGCGCTGCTTCTCTCAAGAGGGGCCGACCTTGGTCCCTGCCCGCCGGGTGCCCAAGGCTGCTGCCTGCCCTCCTGGAGCCCCCAATGGGATTCTGTGTGGCTGGAAAGCCAGTGTGACCACTTCTGCCATCCCGGGGTCTGCAGGGTCCCGGCAGAGGTTCATCTGAAACCGAGGGAGTGTGGTGGGGCTAGGGCAGGAGAAGGGAGAGGACTCCGCTCCAGGTCAGCGGGCAGTAACCATGACCGCCAGCTCCCCACGGCACGGTATCCGGGATCCCAGGAGAACCGAGTTCCACGGTGCTGACTCTGGCCAGGTCTGTAGGCGGTGGGGCCTGTGGACCCCCTGCACTGTCCACTCTCCATCAGAACAGAGGAAAGGACGCAGGGAGGGGTTCGGCCGGCGGCAGGCCTGGCGCCACCTTCAGCTCCAAGTGCAGGTTCTCCACCCACGGAGCAGCTGCGCTCTCAGACCCGGGCCTGATCTCTCTGGGCCTCAGTTTCCTGCTCTGTAGAATGGGCTGCTGGCGCCACACACCGTGATCAAGGCCCCGTGGGCGCCGCTATTAGGAAATGCTCAGTGAAACTGGAGATCCTGACGGGCACCCAGGGTGTCATTAGCGAGATTATCCCCTTAGCAACCGAGGCCAGACGCCACAGGCCTGCCTCTCTGGCTCTTCCGCCCCCAGCGAGGCCCCAGTTGCCACCCAGGGGCTGGTGCCCGGGTGCCGGGGCTGATGGTTGATGACTGCGGGTGGGGCCTGCCCTCCACTCCCTGCTCGGTCCTGCAAGTCGCTGCCCGGCCCCTAGGGCAGTTTCGGGGAGCCAGGGGCTGCTAAAAAAGGGGTGTCTTAGGATCTTACCTCCTGGGCAGGAGGGTGTCAGGCCCCACCTCAGAGCAGGAGGGGCGGTGCTTGTGGGGGCCAAGGGCCACCCTACTGCTTTGTGTGAAACGCCATTAGGAGGGACAGCACCCTCGGACGGCACCCAGGCCCCAGCCTCATGCATTAATTCAGGGTCTGGGAGGTCCCAGGGCCCTTTTGTTTGTTTCTTTTTCTTTTCTTTCTATTTTTTTGGGGGGGCTTTTTTGGTCACATCTGGCGATGCACAGGGGTTACTCCTGGCTTTGCACTCAGGAATTACTTCTGGCAGTGCTCTGGAGGCCATATGGGATGCTGGGAATCGAACCCGGGTCGGCCACGTGCAAGGCAAACACCCTACCCACTGTGCTATCACTCTAGCCCCCAATCTTTGTTTCTTTTTTTCTTTGGTCCACACACAGCTCAGGGCTTACTCCTGGCCCTGCACTCAGGAATCTCTCCTGGTGGTGCTCAGGGGACCCTGTGGGATGTTGGGGATCGAACCCGGTTGGCTGCTTGCAAGGCAAACACCCTACTATTGGACTATCGCTGTGACCCCCCTTTTAAAAAAATTAATTCAGTTTGGAGCCAGAGAGATGGTACAGCAGGTAAGGCGCATGCCTTGCACATGGCAAACTCAGGTTCGATCCCTGGTACCTCCTTAAGGTCCCCCAATTCCCACCAGGAGTGATCCCTGAGCACAGAGCCAAGAGTAAGCCCTGAGCACTGTCAGGTGTGACCTCCCAAACCAAAATAATTATAATTAAAGATTTCAGTTCTTAGGATGAAGGTAGTAAGTACAGAGGTTAAGGTGCTTGTCTTGTATGCAGCAGCGCTGGCTTGATGCCAGCATCACACATGGTGATCACTGAGCACTGATCCAAGAGGTAGCCCTGAGCACTGCCCATGTGCCCAACCCCTACACACACACACACACACACACACACACACACACACACACACTAAAAGGGACAACAGAGCTGAGCCCAAGGGCTGGAGTGCAGGCCTGGGAGGCCCGCCCTGAGCTCCGTCCAAGCTGACCGCCCGAGGCCCTCGTAGTGTCCAGCACAGCTCCACTTGCCTTGCACGCGGCCAACCCGGGTTCGATCCCCCGACCCCCCACCCCTCACCACAAATGTTCCCCAGCACTGCCAGGGACAATTCCTGAGCGCCGAGCAGGGAGCAACCACCCCCGAGCATCGCCGGGCGTGGCCCCAAAACAACACAAAAGGCCCAGCTGCAAGCTGGAGCGCCGTGGACAGCGGGGGCCCGGCTGTCCCCTCCGAGGACGGTCAGCCGGCCTGGCCGGGGCTGTCCCTGCGCGGCTGGTCTCCCCGGCTCACCTGGGCGCCGCCCCGTCCGTCGGGCCCGCCCCTCCCACATTCCAGCGCGGCCGCCGCGATGCAGGACGCGGGCGCCGAGGCTCCGGCGGGCGCGCGGGCCGTCAAGGTGGTCCTGGTGGGCGACGGCGGCTGCGGGAAGACGTCGCTGCTCATGGTCTTCGCCGCCGGGGCCTTCCCCGAGGTGAGCGCGGGCGCGGGGCCCCGCAGGGCTCTCGGCTGGGCCCCGGGAGGGATGCCCCGACGCTGCCACCCCCAGCCGCCCAGAAGCGGCCCCTTCGCGGGCAGGGGGCCCCCGGGGATCAGCCCACCCGGCCTCCGCGGGTCCCCCGGGGATCAGCCCACCCGGCCTCCGCGGGTCCCCCGGGAATCAGGCCGCCCGGCCCGGGACACCCGCGAGTCTCGGGCCCAGCGCTGGGCTCCCGTCCAGCCGCGCCGCCCGCGGCCGCTGTGCACCTTTGGGCAGCCCCCGCCCCTCTCTGTGCGGGTTCCACAGCCCCCCCCCCCCCCATGACGGTGCCGCCCAGTCACCTTGGCGCGGGGCGGGGGGGGGGGGGGTAGGAGGGGAGGAACGCCCTGAGAAGTCAGGGGTCGCTGTTCCTGCAACGGGAAGGGCTCCCTGAAAACTTGTAGGCAGATGTCATTCTCCTCCGGGGACGGGGGCTCCTGCCCCAAGCCCTGCCCGCACCCCGTGTTATTCCCGGGAACCTGCCTGGTGGGGGTCTCCAGCTGCTTTGGGGGTCCTCAAGAGCCCCCTCTGGTCTCTCTGGTCCTTACCTGGAGTGGAAGGGGCCTGGGAGGGAGGGTCTCCACTTGGCCCTCCTGGGTGGGCCTTAAACTCACTGGCTAGCTCCAGGCCAAGCCCAAAGCCGTGACCCCCCCCCCCCCCAGCATGTGCCCCCAGCCCTGGAGTCTGCGCTTGCCTCAGGCCAGGCAGGCCCTGGGGGGCTGGGCAGCCTGGTTGGCCCCTTGGAGGAAACTGGTGACACTGGGATGGGGGGGAGGGGGCGCTGGCTTTCCACTGCGGTGGGGAAGCCGATTCCTGTGGTTTATGGAACTGACGTCACCTTCCCAGGCCAGTCACATTGTTTAAGTTGGGGGGTACGGGGTTTCCGGGGCCCCAGATGCTGCCCATGTGAACCCAACAATTATGGTGCAAGAATGGAGCTGCATGGCGGGGCCAGGGTGAGCGGGAGGGCACTGGGCAGACTGTGGCCAGGACCGGCGCCCTGGTACCAGCGTGGGAATCCCCAGGCTTCGATGGGGAGGCCGGATGGGGAGGCCGTCCCGTCTCACACCAGCTCTGGGCATCCCGCCCTGGCTGGAATGGGGGGGGGGGCAGGCTGGCCAGGGCGGGGTCCGTGCTGATGCCGGCTGTTGTTGGGGTCCTTGAATTCCTTCAGGTCCATTTCCAAGAAGGATGACCCAGCCTCTGGGGCGCTGGGTCCGAGCGGAGAGCCAGGTACCTCAGCTCATGGGGTGATTTATTCACAGAGAGGAGGGAGAGTTCCAGGGCCTGGAGCCATAGCAGCGCTGGCCTTGCAACTCGGCCCACCCGGGTTCATTCCCCAGCACCCCAGAAAGTCCCCCGAGCCCCACCAGAAAAATCCCTGATTACAGAGCAAGCACTGCCAGGTATAGCCTTAAAAACACCCAAAATAGGAGGGATGGCTCTCCAGGGTACAGAAAGCTGGCACATGGGCTAAGGCATTTCCCTTGCATGTGGAGACCCCAGAGACCCCAGTTTGACCCCTGCCACCACAGGGTCCCACCAGCCACCCAGCACTCCACGTGGCCCAAACCCTCCCCTGATTTTTTAAATTTTATTTATTTATTATTATTATTATTATTTTGCTTTTTGGGTCACACCCAGAAATGCTCAGGAGTTACTCCTGGCTCTGCACTCAGGAATTACTCCTGGTGGTGCTCGGGGGACCATATGGGATGCCAGGGATCGAACCTGGGTCGGCCGCGTGCAAGGCAAACGCCCTACTGGTGTGCTATCACTCCGGCCCCCTGATTTTCTTTTAAAGAAGGTAGATTTCAGGGCCCGATCAATAAATAGCACAGAAGGTAAGGTGTTTGCCTTGCCACGGCTACCTGGGTTCGATCCCAGTGCCCCATAGGGTCCCCTTAAACACGGTCAGGAGTGATTCCTGAGTGCAGAGTCAGAAGTAACCTCTGAGCATCACCAGGTGTGGCACAAAAAACAAAAGAAATGGTAGATTCCCCAGGGATCACTGAGTGGCATTCTTTTCCGTGGAAAGAAGGAAGTAGGCTCAAAATGTCTGGGGCCTGTTTCCATGGGAGTGACCCAGACAGGCAGCTTCACCTCAGGAGCCCACCGGGACGTGTGGTTTGCACCCCACATCTGCCCGCCTGACGGCACCAGAGAGATAGTGCCAAGGGGTGGCTATTGCTTTGCACGCACCCTACCCAGGTTCAATCTCCGGCACCCCGTGTGGTCCCCCCATTCCTGTCAGGAGTGAGCCCTGACCATGAGTGGGGGTGGCCTCCTCTGGTCGCCCCTCAAAAAAAGATTCACTACGGGCCAGAGCCTAGTACAGTGGGGAGGGCACTTGCCTTACATGAGGCTGACCAGACTCAGTGCCTGGCAGCATATAAGGTCCCCTAAACCAGCCAGGAGTGACCCTGATCCCTGAGCACAAAGCCAGGAGTAAACCCTGAGCACTGCCAAGTGTGGCCCCAATACACACACACACACACACACACACACACACACACACAAAAGATTGACCTGCCCACCCTAGACCCAAGCACTGTGCAGCCCCCAGTGCTCTGCCCAGCTGCCCTGGTCTGCTTTAGGCTATGGACTCCTCCTCCAGGCAGCCCTCCCAGCCCCAGGTGCCTGTAGCTACATGATTTGGGGGTCTCAATTCTTGGGCTTCCCACCCACAGTGGAGGGCAGAGCAGGCTGGGATCTAGAGGGGCGCGTTCATTCTCTGGGGCTTACCCTGCGGTCAGAGCAGGCAGGAGGTAGAGAACGCCCATGGCAGAAGGCAGGGGACTCGGCTGAGTTGGGGGAGGTCCGGGGGGGGGAAGGGGGGACTTGGCTGGGACAGGGTGACACAGCTGAGCTGGGGAAGGGGGGTAGACACATCTGGGACATGGGGACCAGGTGAGTCCTGGCACCTGTCCAGGCTGCTTGTGGGGGGGGGGGGGAACCATCCCCAGGGCAGGGGAGGAAGGGAGGGAGGGAGGGATTCCAGCCCCCTCCGGAAACAGAGCCCAGAGCCCTTGGACCCTGCCCCAGGGACAATGCGGCTACTCCTGGGCCCCCAGCCCCAGGCAGCCCGCAGGCTGCGCTGATCTTTATCCTGCCGGTGATGCAATGCTCCAGCCTCGCGCCTGGCCTCGGGAGTCCGCTCAGAGCCCCACGGCTGGACTCCACAGAGCCAGGTGTGGTCTAAGAAAAACAAGAGATTTATCTTTATTGGCCTTTTGGGCAGGTGGGGGGGGTCAAAGGACAGCCCAGAAGCTGACGGTCCAGAGTGGGGGGTGGGACTGTCACCAGGCTGGGGCCGTCCAGTCCCAGGGAGCTGGAGAAGTGGGGGCTGCTCCCAGGCCCAGTGTTTGCCCCTGGAGCTCAGTGTCCTGACGGGGTTGATGGGGACGGAATGCGGGACAGGCGACCCCCAAGCCTCGGCTGTCCTCTGCTTCTCCAGCTGCCCCGGCCCCTACTGCAGCTCTGTGGCCCCCCCGGGATCAGAGGCCACCATGAACCCCATTCAGGTCTGCCTCCCAGCACCTGGGGCCCAACGTCACGAGTCCCCCCCGCTTTTAGCTGGGACCGCATTGGCCAGCCCAGCGTGCCCTGGGGCAGCGGCTGTGTTGAGGTTCTCCTGAGCACTCCACCGATTTCTGGGACCCCATCTGCAGAAGCTCCCTTTCATTGTTTTTTGGTTTTGTTTGGGGGCCACATCTAGCAGTGCTCAGGGCTTACTCCTCCCTTGGCTCACTCCTGGCAGGGCTCGAGGACCATAGGGTATGGGGTTCAAACCCAGGTTGGCCCTATAGAAGGCAAACACCTTACCCCAGTTCTGTCTTTCTGCTCCCCTTTCTCCATTCTTGAATATGTATATAAAACCCAGTCATTGGGCTCTGTGGAGGGTCCCCCGAGGTCCAGGGGCAAAGGGCCTGGGACCTGATGACCTCAGATGGGCTGAAAAAGCAGAAGTGGGGGTCATGGGTATGGGGAGGTCCAGAAAACCATCCAGCAAGAGGCAGTCTCGGTTGGATATGAAAGGTGGACATGCTGAGAACAGACCCCCAAAACTCTTTTCTTTTTTGCTTTTTGGGTCACACCCGACGATGCTCAGGGTTTACTCCTGGCTTTGCACTCAGGAATTACTCCTGGTGGTGCTCAGGGGACCATATGGGATGCTGGGAATCGAACCTGGGTTGGCCGTGTGCAAGGCAAACACCCTCCCCGCTGTGCTATCATTCCAGCCCCCCAAAACTCTTTTCTTATTATTCATTTTTGGGTCACACATGGCGATGCACAGGGGTTACTCCTGGCTCATGCACTCAGGAATTACTCCTGGCAGTGCTCAGGGGACCATATGGGATGCTGGGAATCGAACCTGGGTTGGCCATGTGCAAGGCAAACGCCCTCCCTGCTGTGCTATCGCTCCAGCACCCCCAAAACTCCTTATGCCCTCCCAAGGGCAGGCACTAAGTCTCGCTAATTTCTAGCTCCCCAGGATCTAACACTGAACTTTGAGAAGGTGCGTTTGCTCAATGAATGAGTGAAGGGAAAAGGCAGGCGGATGGATGAATGAACCGATGGAACCAGAATGAATGTATGAGCAGGGGACAGGGGACAGCTCGAAGGTGACACCCAAGTTCAATCCCCGACGACCCCAGACTCTACTGAGGAGGTCCCCCTCCATTGATTTTTTTTTTTTGCTTTTTGGGTCACACCCGGCAATGCACAGGGGTTCCTCCTGGCTCTGCGCTCAGGAATTACCCCTGGCGGTGCTCAGGGGACCATATGGGATGCTGGGAATCGAACCCGGGTCGGCCGCTTGCAAGGCAAACGCCCTACCCGCCGCTGTGCTATTGCTCCAGCCCCTCTCCATTGAATTCATGAACAAATGAATGACTAAGCAAGTAGCTTGCTGTCAGTCAGGAGAAGCGGCCACAGGAAGCGTCTTGGAAATTACAAAGACTCCACGAACGATCTCTCCGCATGGAGGGCAGGGCAGGGAGATAGTGCGGCAGGCAGGGCACTTGGCTTCAGAGCGGCCGGCCAGGTTCCATCGCCGGCACTACATATGGTCCCCCAGCCTGGCTGGTGACCCCTGAACACTCCTGGCATGTGGAAAGGCCCATCCGGCCTGCCCAGGCGCACCTTGCCGAGTGCCTTAGTCAGAACCAGTAGTCAGGGGACTCCCAGGAACCCTGACTCAGAGCTCAGCCTGCGTCCCGTTTCTCTCCAGTGTGGCCCAAGAGGGCCCGAAGGCTGAGCGTGGGCTTTGCATGGGGGAGCCCTGGGTTCCATCCCCAGCTCTGCACCCCGCCATCACCCCCTGCCCCCAGCACCACTGGGTTTGGCCACAAACCAAACCAGAAGTGCCCATATTCTGGGGCTGAAGAGAAAGCACAGCGGGTAGGGCACCTGCCTTACACGCGGCCCACCTGGGTTCAATCCCCGGCACCCCGTATGGTCCCCCAAGTCCCGCCAGGAGTGATTCCTGAGTGCAGAGCCAGGAGCAAGCCCTGAGCATTGCCAGGTGTGGCCCCAAACCAAACCAAACCAAACAAACAAAACCCAGAAGTGCCCACATTCTGCCACTCCCTGAGAGGGTGGCGGGTGTGACCCGCTTTGGCCTGGGCATGGGTCTAGCCCTGCTTTGAAACTGGCCTCGCAGCCTCCCTGTCACCCCTTCTCCGCAGAGCTATACTCCCACCGTGTTTGAGCGGCTCAGTGTGAATCTACAGGTGAAGGGGAAGCCCGTGAACCTCCAAATCTGGGACACAGCAGGTTGGTGTGGGGGGACAGTGGCCTCCATCCCTTCTGAACGGGTGGGGGGCATCTGCCTCCAGGCTGGGGCCCAAGCACCCAGCCAGGGCAGTCTTATGGGGGGGAATAGGCTCCAGACTCACCTTGACCTCTGCCCCCAACACACACAGTCTCCTGACCTTAGCTGATCTCGGGGGACCCCAGCAAAAATGTCCTTGTGAGGGTCTCACCTGTCCTCACTCTCAACCCCAGGGCAGAGCAGACCCCCGCATGGTGGCCATGGAAGCCCCAGGTCCAGCGCGACCTTGCCTGATTCCTCCTAGAACGGGGGTTCCCTTGTCAATGAGCCGCGCCCAGCCAGGGGACTTGGCTCGCCCCTGGGAAAGCCATGGAACAGAGCCCCGGGGGGCACCTGAGGCAGAAGCCTGCATCCACCCCCATCCAGTTAGAAGTGTAGATGTGTGGGAGGTGCTGATGGGCCCTGACCCCACCCCCACCCCCTCTCTGTGCAGGGCAAGTGGACTACGACCGTCTGAGGCCACTCTTCTATCCTGACGCCTGTGTCCTCATCCTGTGCTTCGACGTCACCAACCCCTGCAGTTTCCACAACATCTCGAGCCGGGTAGGGGAAGGGTCTAGGCCCTGCAGACACCCGCTAATCTCCAGTTCAGTAGGGGCAGGGGGCGGTGCCCGGCAGACACCCACCAATCTCCACCCCCGTAGGAGGTAGGGGGTGGTGCTCTGCAGACACCCACCAATCTCCAGCCACGTAGGGGCAGTGGGCGGGGCAGTCCCCAGTCCTTAGATGTAGGGGGCGGAGCTAAGCCCCAGCTGCGTTGCGCAGGGGGCGGTGTCCTGCAGACACCCACCAATCCCCAGTAGCAGGGGGCGGTGCTCTGCAGACAACCACCAATCTCCAGCCCTGTAGGGGCAGGGGGCGGGGCCGTCCCCAGTCCTTAGATGTAGGGGGCGGAGCCAATCCCCAGCTGTGTAGGGGCAGGGGTGGTGCCCTGCAGATACTCGCCAATCTGCAGCAGGGTAGGGACACCCCGCAGGGCAATACCATCATCTGTCCTGTGTCAGCCCCCAACCCAGCATAGGAGATGGCACAGCTTAGCAGGTCCTGGGTGGCGTGGGCTGGGCCCTCTTGGCATGTTAGGGAAACTGAGGCGGGAGTGGGGGACAAGGACTTGCTGGGAGCCCCAGGGGAGTTTGAGGGCTCCGCACCTGCTCTAGACTGCCTGAACCGAACCTGTTCCTAGGGTGGGGTGGACCGGCAGCTCTCAGCTCTGTTTGCGGGGCCGCTGCTGCCTCTCAGCGGCCTCCTGGGATGCCCCCCAGTGATGTCAGGGGTCCGTGAGGCTGCTCCAGGGATCAGGACATGGCCCCTGAGTGTCTGCTTCCGCCGCCTCTGGCCACAACATGGCCAAGATGGACTCCCAGGTTCTTTTTCTGGCTTCTTTGGTTTGGGGTCACAGCCAGCAGTGCACATCTGCTGCTCCAGACTCGGGGGCCATGTGGTACTGATGTTGGCCCTGGGGCCCCAGTCACTGTTGCTGGGGTGGGGACAGGAAAGTGGGGGAGTGGGGTGTAAAGGGGAGTGTCACCATGTGGAGGAAGAAGGGTCGGGTGCCAGGGCTGGGGATCAGGCTGGGGACTCACTGCTCACTCCTCCAGCTGGAGTCAAGGGGGGCCTTCCCGGGAAAGGATGGGGCAGGACATCTGCTTCCAGGACTTACTTCCTCCCCCTCCCCCTCCAGGGCCTCACACCCCAGAGAGAACCACAAGAGGGGGAAGCCCCACCTACCGCTGTTGATGCCACTTTGGTTTTGGGGTGTTTTTTTTTTCGCTTTTTGGGTCACACCCAGTGATGCTCGGGGATTACTCCTGGCCTCATACTTCCGGAGGTGCTCGGAGGACCCTATGGGATGCCAGGGGTCCACCATATGCAACGCAAACATCCTCCTTGTTATACTACTGCTCCAGCCCCGTGCTGAGGCCACTTTGTACACGACCTTATGTACATGCTTCATGTGCATGCTTCATGTACACCCTTCATGTACATGAATTCATATACGCAGCTTTATGACTTTTTAGGTCAGAGCTGGCAGTGTTCAGGGGTTACTCCTGGCTCCGCACTCAGGAATTATTCCTGGCGATGCTCAGGGGGACCATGTGGGATGCTTGGGGTCAAATCCAGGTCATCTGCATCCAAGGCAAACGCCCGACCCACTGTTCTATCGCTCCAGCCTTGGCTTCATGGATTTGAGGCAGGCTTGCTCTCTCCCTGGGGGCCACTTCTACAGGTGATTTGACTTCTTCCGGGGTGCTCCTGAGTGGTACTTAGCAGTGCTCAACCACATTCCGGCTTTCACCTTCAGCACTGCCCTCTCTCTGCCCCACCAAGCGCCTTCCCTGCCTCTGGTTACGTGGTTCTGAATGTTTTCTCCGGGGCCGTTTGGGAAGTGCCGGCCCTTCACAGAGCAGCATATGGAGCGGGCGGGCGAAGGGTGAGGCCAGTACAAGAGGGACCAGAATGCTGTCAAGAGCCCATCATGCTGTCAGCGCCGGCTCAGACACCCTCTCTGGGGCCAGAGGGAGAGAGTGCAGGTGGGCAGGGCACTTGCCTTGCACACGGCCGTCCCCAGTTTGATCCCAGCAACCCATACAGTCCCCAGAGCCCCTCCAGGAGTAATTCCTGAGTGCAGAGCCAGGAGCAAGCCGTGAACAAGCAGGTTGTGGCCCCCAAACCAAAACCAATCAGATGCCCTCTCTGCACGTGGGTGGAGCTGGTGTCCGGCCGAGTGGCCAGCCCTCACTCCTCACTCCTCCCCTGCAGTGGTACCCGGAGGTGAATCACTTCTGCAACAAGGTGCCCATCATCCTGGTGGGCTGCAAGACGGACCTGCGCAAGGACAAGATCCTGGTGAAGAAGCTGCGGAAAAACCGCTTGGAGCCCGTGACGTACCACAGGGTGGGCCCCAGCCCAGGGGAGGAGGGCGCCGGGAGGAGGGGACACCCCAGCCTGCCCACTGGTGTCTAGGAAGGAAACTTAGAATGTTCTGGAAGGTCCAACCAGTGAAGGGTGAGCCCTTGAGTTAGCCCCCAGCTCTGTTATACACCTGGTCAGGGAGAAAGTTAGTTGGCACCTTGAAAGGCAGAGACCCAGCTGGGAGATGAAACCAGGCAAGGCCGAGAACTAGGGATGGAGGAGGCGGGAGCCGCGGGTGCCTTAGACTAACTCACCTTCCGCTGCTGTGGGGGTTGGGGGGCCCTGAGCGCCCCAACCTCACTCAGCCCCGCCCCCTCTCCTCAGGGCCAGGAGATGGCGCGGTCGGTGGGGGCCGTGGCCTACCTCGAGTGCTCGGCTCTGCTCCAGGAGAACGTCCAGGCTGTCTTCCAGGAGGCCGCCAAGGTGGCCCTGAGCAGCCGCAGTCGCAACATCTGGCGGCGGATGACCCAGATCTTCTGTGCCATGTCCTGACAGCTGGTCAGGCAGGAGCTGGGCACTCACCCTCTGGACGACTGGGCTGGACCCAGCCCCCCAGACAGCACCAAAAACAGACGCGCACCTTCAAGGACAGGCCCCCAGCCCCAGGGCAGGGATCCTTGAACAGCAGTGAGACCCCACCGAGGCCCCAGGATTGGGGTTCTCTGGGCTCACGCCCCAGGCAGGAGTGGCCTGGAGTCCCCTGGAATCGCTCCTGGCCGGGGACCGCTCACCCCGGCTTGCCTGGCGCCGCCTTGTGGCTATTCTCGGAACTGCACCCTTCGGGTGGGGCCAGCTGCAGCCCCTCAGGCACCTCCCGCCCCTCTGCTCCCGCCCTTTTCCGTGGTAACGGCAACAACAAAATGACTGTCCCTGGTGCCATGCCTCTTGTTTCGAAACGATCTTACACATATGACCCATGACACTTAAAATTCCATCCCAAGTGGGTGCTGGATCCAAACCCAGTAGGCAAATGACTTTGAACCCTCTAGACTTAATCTACAATATGGAACCAACCCAGGGCTGCGTCATCCAGCTGTTAGATGCGTAAGCGAGGCAGAGACACATCCGAAGACCTTAACGGGCCGGGCATCAGGGCTGGAAGGTTCTGGGGTGTGTCCTTTAGGATTAATACAACATATAATACGGGATCAGGCCATTAGTCAGGGTTTCCAGTTGGAACTATAGAATTCTGGCTTGCAATATCCTGAATGCTGACAAGCCCAGAACCTGTAGGGCAGGCCTGAGACTGAGTCTCTCCTCTGCGCAGGTCAGGTATTGCTGCACAGCTGTTGGGCGGATGTGTCTAACCTGAAACCAGTAACCAGTAGATGGGGCTAAATGGGTGAGCCTCGCCTAATCAGTTGAAGCATTTCCAGATGAGGTTTCCTACTGGGAGGTCAAGGTCGGGAGGGGAGGGGCAGAAGTGTGCAGATAAGGGAGAGACTTTTGGAGCCTCTTTCCAGGAGGAAGAGAGCCCTGTGCTAGGTTAATGGAAGATAGACCAGCTCAGAAAAGGGAGAGGGACTTTGGGAGGGAGGGGGTGAGGCGCACCCGGAGGTGCTCAGGGTGTACTCCTGGCTTGTAGTCAGGAATCATTTCTGGCAGTGCTTGCGAGACCATATGGGATACCGGGCCTCGAACCCTGGTCTGCCATGTGCCAAAGTAGAGCCCTCCTCCCTGTACTCGCTCTCTTACCCGAGAGGGAGGGACTTTCTAGCTAGGCTGTTGCAAGCCCCGCCCCGTGCCGACTCGGGGCGCCTTCCCATTGGATGGGTGCCTGTCTGTCTCCCCTGATTGGCAGTTCCATAGCGCGTCTTGCCAGGTGAGTGCCGGGGAGCGCGCTGGGCGCTGGGCGAAGGGCCTGGCGGTGACTCGGGCCACCCTCAGCCCTTTCCGCCTGGCCCCCTCCCCGCCAGCCCCCTTCCGCAGCCCCTCACCGGGAGCTCTGCCCACGGGGGACCCCTCCGGGCCACCTGCACCGGTACTGGGAGTGCGGAGCGCCCGCATCGCACACAGCAGCCCCGGGGTCGCGCCTTGTCACCCCTTGATCCTGAAGCATCGCAGGGAGCGACACTTCCCACCCTAGCACCGAGTCCCAGACGCTCCCAGCATTGCCAGGTGTGACCCCAAAACAAAACCAAAACACAGGGGCCCCAAGCCTGTACTCATTACCTCTTGCATTTCATGCTTGTCTTTCCCCTACTCAAACCCTCTCTCCCTCCGCCACTACTCAGTCCTTCAGGGTCCAGCTCAGACACATCCCCGCTGCTGCGCCCATCTCACTGCCGGCACAGGGAGAAAGCGACCTGGTGCCTTGGCGGGGGTCCAGCTATGATCCAGGACCCGGCGAAAGACTGGAGGGCTTCCCGGAGAAGGCGGCCTGCCCTGCCTGCGATGAGGACAAAGCAGCGCCAGAGACCCGCCTGGCTGCTGCAGACAGGCGTCCGGACTCCAGGAACAAGCCACCACACGCCCTGGAGGGTGGGTGGCTGGGCTAGACTGCTGCAGGGTGGCACCGGGAAAAGGAAGCACGCAGGCAGACTTCCTCCAGTCCCGGGAGAAACCGGCCCAGACAGGGTCCTTCCCAGGACCTGGGACACCCGCCCAGGGAGGATCCAGCGGTGGGGGGCGGGAGGGCTCTGCCCTCTCCTCACAACCCGGGCGGAGCCCCCAGACACCAAAGCGCCGCCGACGCCCTGCCTTGGGGTGTCTGCCGGGAAGGCAGGGGTGGGGGGTGGGGATCCCCAGCGTCCTCCCGGGATCGGCCCCTCCCTGGCATCCTGTGGGGGCGGGGCCGCCCCTCTGACTCACACAAAGTCACCGTCCTCCCTTGGACCGCCCCCGGGGCCCCAGACTGGGTGCAGGGAGGGAGAGTGGTGGGGTGCCTCGCCCCTTTGCGCCACACGGTCTCTTCCTCCGACCTCACCTGTGCTCGGGGCTTTCCTTTGGGAGAAGTCAGCAAGGGGTCAGGACCGGGACAGCAACAAAGAAGTGCGCCCCCCCACCCCGCAAAAACAGCAGAGCAGCTGACCCCGCACCCCACATGCCACGCAGTGCTTCCCCGATGATGAGTAGGTTGGTCTGGAAAGCACGGGGGTGTCCTGGGTTCAAACCCAGGCTCTGCCGTTTACTGGCCCCTCGTCCTGGGCCGGAGTTCCTGGGAAGGAATTTAGTGCTCTCAGGTGTGCTAAGCCGTCAGCCGCTTCCCGCTCCCTGTGCTGCTGTGGCCGTGGGCAGAGCTGCCCGAATGCCATGCTGTGCTTGCCAGGACGGCACCAGCAGGCCACTGGGATTGTGTGTGTGTGTGTGTGTGTGTGTGTGTGTGTGTGTATACATATATGGGTGCCGGGCATTTCAGCCACACCCAGAGGCGCCCAGCTCCCACTCCTGACTCTGCACTCAGGGTTTACTCCTGGTGGGCTCTGGGGACCATAGCGGGTGTGGGGGTTGAACCCCGCTCAGTCACGTGCAAGGCCAACGCCCTCCCCACTGTATATCTCACCGGCTCCTGGGCTCATATAAAAACAATGGTGGGGGGCATACCGGGTGGGTGCTCAGGGCTTCCTCCAGGCTCTGTGCTCAGGAATCACTCCTGGAAGTGTGTGTGTATGTGTGTGTGTGTGTGTGTGTGCGCGCGCCTGTGGTCAAATCTTGCCTCCCCCCCCCCGCCAGGTAGGCACCCTACCGCCACTGTACTGAAGTTTTCTCTCCCCAGCCCGCCCAGCCCCCTGGGGGCTCGTTGAGTTTAGTGGACCGGATGGTCCATGTCCACCAGTACTGCAGGGCTTGGTGGTAGTTCCCTAAGGAGGGGGCAGGGGAGGGAACCCCAGCTGAGTGACTGTCCAGATGGGGCTGTTTGCTAGAGGCGGGGCTTGTTGGGCCAGCCAAGGAGGCATCTACTCCCAGTCTCCCCATGCTGGCTGGCTTTAGGTGTGTGTGTGTGTGTGTGTGTGTGTGTGTGTGTGTGTGTGTGTGTGTCTTGCTGTGGTCCTGGCCAGCCACACTGCCACCCTCTAGCTTCCCTTGTAGACAGCCTTCGGGGCAGCCCCCTCAGGCCATGAGATGGACATCAGAGGAACTGGGGATGCAGACAGGTGCCTCCTCCCCTCGCCCCCTCCCCCCAGCCCCCAGTGAAAGGCACCTGAGGCCGGAGCGACAATGCAGCCGGTAGGGCACTTGCATTGCACATTGCCAAGCTGGGTTCGCTCCCTGGAGCCCCAACAGGGGTGACCCCTGAGCACTGAGCCAGGAGTAATGTCCCCAGAACACCACGCGCTTTCCTGCAGCCCCCAGGGTGGCGTCAGTCCCAGGTGTCAGTAGGGACATCCACCAGTTTTCCAGAGCTGTCGGAAGCCAGGGCCGCACGGACACGCGGACCGGCCAGCAGAGGGCAGCAAGGACCCCGCAGCGCCGCCCCCCGCCAGGACCCTCAGGGGCTCCGACACCGCGTCCCAGCCCCGCGCACCCCAACGCTTTGCCCGAGGCTCCCGGTGACTTGGCCATTCCCTTGGGTAGATGCAAACCTGGAAGGGCCTAGGGCAGAATCCGGGGTTCTAACGCGGCCTTGCCGCCTGGAGGGGAGTTACGGGACCCGCCTGCACTGTCACCCACCTCATTTCCTCTTGGCTGTCGCTGGGGAAGCGGGTTTGGGACTGAGGGTTCTGCTCGGACCATACCCAGAATTTGGAGCAGAATTCAGAGGGTTGATATGAGCCTTCTAGAAGGTTCAGGACACCTCTGCGATTGCCCCCAGTGACCCCCTGGGGCCAGCCTTACTGGCGTACCTGGGGGGTTGGCATGTAGCTAGACCCATCCTGCGGGGGCTGGCAGGGGGCGGGGAGGACGGTGTGAGGAACCTGATGTTTCATCCTGCTGGGGAGCAACTGAGAGGGGCCACCTTTTGTAGTGCGGGGGTCCCCTGGGTTCCCTGACACTCTGAGTACCCAACCTGGCCGCTTTGGACTCTGGCCTCTGTACCCCAAATTAAAAAAAATGGGGGGTCAGGAAAGTAGAGAGTTAAAGCACTAATTATAGAAAGCCGTGGAGCCAGGTTAGACCCCCACACCACACGTGGTCGTGGTCCTCCACACCCCTGGGAGGGACCTCAGAGCACAGAGCTGGGAGTCATTCACAGCAGAGCGGGATTCCATCTCCTGAGGCCCGCCAGAGCCAGGAGTGACCCCGGGGGTCAACACAAGCAAAGAAAGACAAGAAATGGACAGAGGAGCACTTTGGGCTGTTCCCTCTCACTGACCGCGTCCCTCTGCGTTCAACTTCCTGATCCCCAGGGCCCAAGCACCCGACCGTCGGGCCAGAGGCATGTGTGAGGGCCCTGGAGCCGCGTGGCCCATGCAGTTCCCCCTCTGCTGCTCCTCCCAGCAGCCCTCTGCGGAGCCCGGAGCCCCGACTGGCGGAGGCGATGCTCAGCTCCTCCCTTTATCCAAGGGTTCTGCATTGAGCACCTACTAAATTCCACCGCCCAGCCCAGAGCCGGGATCCATCCCCAGCTCCTGGGTCCCCCTGGGCAGAAAGAAGGGGAAGCATGAGGCTCCTTCCTCCTTCGAAGACAGTCCTCCACCCCCACCCCCAGAGCCATTCCTCTCTGAAGGGGTATGCCCTGGCGCCC